ACAAAACGATTTAGATGAAATTGTATCCTGGTGTCACTCGAATTGCATGGCTCTCAATGTCAAAAAAATGCTTCCACATAAAATATACCCAGAAGAAAAAACCGCTTGCGTCTATGTACGAGATTGGCGGCGTCGCTTTGGGCGAAGTCGAGGAAATCCGGAATTTGGGAGTTATAATAGACAGTAAGCTAAGTTTTACTTCGCATATAGATAAAGTAATAACTAAGGCGGCTCAGATGCTTGGATTCCTCAAAAGAACCTCCATAGATTTTAAACAAACACAAACCAAGATCCTCTTATACAATGCTCTTGTACGCAGCCATCTCGAATACGCAAGTGTAACATGGAGTCCATTTTATGCGGTGCATTCATAACGTGTTGAGAGCATACAACGAGCGTTCACCAGATACTTGGCTTTCTGCTCCAGCGGGTTCTCTCGCAGGCAACCGTATGAACAACGTATACAAAAATTCAATATGGTTACTCTGCGTGATCGAAGACTTTTGTTCGACTTGTGCTTTTTGTACAATCTTTTTAATGTATTGGTCCAATGTAGTGATTTACACGAATGCATTTCTCTAAATGTCCCACATAATATCCTAGAAACAAAATAACAAAAACTTTTTATACGCCCCCTTGTAAAACCAATCTTGGCCTTCAATCCCCTTTCACTAGAATTTTCAACAAGTAGAACAGTAGAATCCAGGACCTGGACGTGTACCACGACACGAGAATATTTTTGTAAAAAAAATATTAAATTTGTTCAAACTCAAACCCAAATAGTAGTAGGTACTTAATATAAAAAAAATGTACACAATGTACGAAAAAAAATGTGACAATAAATTTTTGTAGCAAATGCTTAATGAGAAATAATGATTTATCGCCAATGTACTTAAATTTCAATAAATAATATGCACAATCAAGTATAATCAGTTCCGAGAAGTCCCGGGATTTGTAGAAGAGAAAGTCGACATCATAATTTAGTTTACCTAAATTAACTCCGTCAATTCCGAAGACTGATTATAACAAACTAGCTGGTGTCTGCGACTCTGTCTGAGTAGAATAATTACTTCAAAGTAGCCTACTGAACTGTATTAATTTTCGTACTTTTATTGGTTTTCCATACAAACTTCCATCCTCTATTTCACCCCCTTAATCGTTTTTTTTAACAAAAAGTAGCCTATGTCCTTCTACTAGGCCCTATTTATCTCTATACCAAAATTCGTCAATATTGGTTCAGTTGGTTAGGCGTAAAAACGTAACAGACACAGTTACTTACGCATTTATAAAATATTATAATTTCGCATTTGGATAGAGATAAACACTCAGCGCATTTACGCACTGCATCCGATATGTATTCGCCCCGAATCCAAGACTACACAAATCTAGAAAACTCGGACCCACTTTGGATGTCTCTCGTGCGTCCGATTCGAATACGAGAAAATACGAATATCCCTTTACAACTAGAGATAGAATGACCCTCCGGACACCTGTGACATTTCGGACCGCCATTTCTCGAATTCGGAACTGATACGAATCGGACGTAGTGCGCAAACGCTCTTAGTAAGGCATTGAAACCTTTGACGTGTTTAAAATCTGTCACGTCTGACAAATCAAAATTAAGTAGTTATAAGCAGCCTTCACTAGGTAGAGGTGTTAAAAATTGACTACAGTGTTTTGTTTTGTAATTATATTGCGTCATGGCAACAATAGATAGTTTGATCGACTTGGATAAAATAACAAAAGAACTGAAATTAAAGCAATTTCAATTTATCTTAACGGCACAACAAGTAATTCTGAAATAGGTAGTGATAACTTGGAATAAGTTATGATTTTTTTTTTATAATATCAAGTGACGGGACGAACTAGTCGTGCAGTTGCAGTGTTACTCAGAGCTTCAAATCATATAGATCTGGGGGCACCGCCACTGCGCCCGTCATCCTGAGACATAAGTTGACAAGTCTCATGTGCTTGTAATTTCACCAGCACCCTGCTTGGCGGTAGAAATAGGTAAGGTGGCAGTACTTCCCTGGACGAGCTTTTTCACAAGCTTTACTGCTCGATATAACTTATCAAGGCGCTGCCGAATTAATAAATGAAAGTGGACGGACTAGAAAATACGAAGAATTTGACGAACGCAATGGGTTTGCAATCCTGAAGCAATCACGTTTTCAGTATTTACAAAGAAACTGTTCATATTTGGTACGTAGTCCAATAATACAATAAATGCCCCGGACAATTCCACCAATTTATCTGGCCTGGCGTGAACGCAACATATTGTGAGTGGTAATAGCTTTGGTCAAGACCTACTAAAATAGCAGCAAAACCTTATATAGCACTCACGTAATACCGGATTTTCACATCATTGCATTATGTCAACATTTTTACTCTCATAATCCGTAAAATTCCATGCTTTGGATTTTTTTACAAGGGTTAACTAAGCAGGTCTTAAAAAGGGGATAAGGGTGGGATCGTTGAAGGAGGTCCAAGAGAGAATGTACTCGCATACATATACAGTATCAACGCTCTTAAGTAAGACGAAGGTCCAATTTTGATTGTATTATGTTTTTTCATAATTTGATACCATTGTAAATAAACGATATGAGGAGTTACCTATGTACATACTAAAATACAGATTAAGAGTGACCATTGAATGATATAAAAAGTAAACACATAAAAAAGGAACACCGAATTTTCAAGTCTTTGACTTGATGCAATGAAATTATTTTTGCATGTAGATATATATATTATCTTGAAGGATGATAGTGAAATTGCAGGCACATAGGACTTGTCAACTTATGTCTCAGGGTGACGGGCGCAGTGGTAGTGCCCCTCAGATCTTTGCGATTTAAAACTCTGAATGGCACTGTAACTGTTATCGACAGGCGTGTAGTTTACCATCAGGCGCACGACTTGTTCGTCCCGTCCAGCCGTAACCATGGGGCCTGTAAAAACCCCGAAAAGCTAGTTTGTTTGAAAAACACCGATGATGAAAAATGATTTTAGATTAGAAAAAATAGTTTAATTTTCCAGTAAACAAAATGTCACAAGTTAGCAGCTACGCTAATTTGCGGTAAACAATTTATATAATAAACTTACGCAATAAACTACTCGCAAACTATCACGAAACACAAAACAAATCACTTCGGCGGAACACCATTAAGTAAACTAACTACTCATACTGAATTCAGATGATATTTAAAGCAGAGTTTGTTCCAGATGACGTCTCTAGGACAATTAGGAGGTGCATCCTGTCGTACACAAAGCCTGTAAGAGGATACTTCCTCTAACAAAGGTGCCAGTTCTAGGGACGTTCTAACCCGACGCTGGTGAAAAGAGTTCAGATTTCCACAGTGGTTCCAAAGATTTAGAGAAAATTACTATGTTTATTTATTAAAATCCACTCAAACAGGCTATCATGGAAGATAGCTGTGAAATGAATTGTTAATTGGTGTATTTAATTGCACTCCCTGACCACATTTCGTGCTTCTCCTCGATAACTCTTTGCCTGATATTGCTCTCAAAACAAATTGGCGCAGCGACATGACGCATTCTTTTTAATTTCTTTACCAGCTTCAAAAAAGGAGGTTCCCAATTCGGCAGTATTTTTTAAGTGTAAGTTACGCATTTACTCCGCAATTTGTGATCTGATTTCGATGATTCTGTTTTATTGGAAAAGGAGCTCCCAGTCAAATTTAAAGAAGATATTCCACTTTTAAGGGTGTCAAATCAGGGAATGAATCCAGATTATTGAATTTCAACCACTTTCCGTTTATCGATTTGTATAAAACTTCACCATATTTCAGGTCACTATATTTTTAGACATCAAAAATATGGTGACCTACGGCTGATCTAATGATGGAAATGGAAAAGGATTCCTCAACAGTCTACTGCAGCTACCTTGTGTTTGGACTTTAAACAAATGGGCATGGGCTTTAAAGAAATATAACCTTGCGAAAGATAAAAAATTATGTTGCATTGTGTCACGTCAAGTCGATGCTCCAACTTTGTTTTACTATTTATTTATTTAGAGGCTTTGATCGTTATTGAACATGTCAGCCCCATTAGAAAAACGATACTTCAAGAAAACACTTTATAAAATCAAAATACCACCTAACCAAACATGTATACAAAATCTCCGCAGCACTACATGCTGGCTCCGACAAAACAGATTGAAACCACCCAATATTAAATGTACGGAACCCAGAATGTGCAAATTACCGCGCCCTCATAGGTTCCGTCCGAACACACTCCATGAGTGAGAATGATGTACATTCTCAGGAATCCCACAAACTTCGCAATTCGGTGAATTCACCCTCCGCATCAAATACAAAAATTTGTTTAATGGAACGTGTCCGTATCGAAGCCTATGTAAGGCACCCTTAAGTACTCGACTACTAATCGACTAACCTCTCCATAGATTCATATGAAGATAACTGTATATAGGTACCGATATTGATACGAGTTATACCTCAAGGTGTGAGGTGCTAAGCCCGTTGCCCTAAATAATTTGCCTGCCTGTCGCGTGGCAGTTACGACAGGTAGTTAGACGAGGGACAATTTCATCACGATTCCGCCTCGTGATTAATTTGAAATTAAGCGTGTCAAACAAATCCTAATAAATGGTCCTTTCAGCGACAGAATAGTCAAGTGTTATTTTCGTTGTAAGTGCTCCGTACATTTTGAATTTGGTACTGCTTTGATTATATAATTTTTCTGTTATGATATCAAGTGGCGGGATGAACAAGTCGTAGGCATGGTGGTAAGCGATACGCCTGTCCATAGCAGTTGAAGTGGCACTCAGACCTTTTAACACTGCCACTACGCCCGGCACCTTGAATCGGATCGGTCGCAAGTCGACGACGCAGTGCCACCAGTGTTGAAGGGACCAGGATTCCGCCCAGCATACGCTGGAGGAGTGCCTCGCATGGGCCTCCGAGCGGAACATCCTGGTTGCCTGGATCGGGCGAGATCACTCTCCGCCAGGCATAGTAGCTGCTATGCCGAAGGATCAAGAGTCCCACGAGGCAGTGGTCTCCTTCTGTGAAGTGGTGATGCTCCTGAAGGAGATCGCCGAGCACGATCGGGAGAGGACTGATCCCGCTCGACGGCGGCGTACCTTCGCCGCTACGGGCGACTGGAGCGGGGGCTCCGTTCGCCAGTAAGTTTGGCAGCCGCGAGGAGGACGACGGGGCGGTGTGGCCCATTTCGTCGTGAGGAGGGGAGGGGGAGGGGGAGGACGTAGCTCCTAGGTCCTAGGGGGGTTTCCGGTGCGCTAAGTCGATACCAGATCGCTCCCACTAGAGCACCCGAGAAGGCCACTGTGGGGTTTTAGCCGATAGGAGTCCGGCATAACCACTCCGCTGCCCCCGCGGCGGAGAGGTGTCCTTGGTGGATTTCCCCACGAAAACAAAAAAGTTGACAAGTCCCATGTGCCTGTAATTTCACCAGCACTCTTACCCTTCGAAAACGGAACGCAGTAACGCTCACGTTTCTGCTTGGCGGCAGAAATATCTTCAAAGTTTTTATGTTGGTACTCACTTGAACATGCTTCAGCAATTTAAGAATGCGAAATTTTCTAGTCAGCCAAAACGAAAAGGATCGTTCAATTTTACTATAATAGTATCAAATAACTACCAGTCAAAAAGCTTAGAAAGCAATGTCTACGTTATTGCCAAAACATCAAATAAAATTCACCTTTACGAAAAACTATAATAGTAAAGTGATCCACTGTCGCGGTTCCACGGAGGCGCCAGGCTTTGTCATTCGATGCTACAGATCTCGTTGCCTTAGTCGAGACCTGCATATACCGTTATGAATAGAAATTGTGAAGCATGATCTTCCCATTTAAGATAAATTATCCATAAGAAATTAACAGTCAAGCGAAATTTAATCACAATACGCGATGGTCGAGAGGAAACTTCAGTATTTCGAGAAACCTTATTAATATTTCTGTACAATTTCGCTACAGTCGCACTCCGCCAAGTGATCTTCCCGTCATTCATTCTCAAATGCGAGCACAGGAATAACCTAAAACCTCACTGAAACATTATTTTCACCCTCCACTAGGTACAAAACAAATTGCCTGTCAAATGTTATTTTTACCTAATATCAGACTAGACACGTACATACAATTCAAAATCGCCTATTCATTGTACTTATCTTATGGAGTGCTAACGGCCCATATCGACCCTTGTCGAAGAAAGCAAGAGCCAACAAAGGCATTTGAGAATTATAATGCGAAACGTGTAAATAGGCGTCAAATAATTCGAAGTATTTCAGGAAGTATGAATATAATTTTGCAGCAACGACATGACACTAAAGAGGGATTGAAACTCAGGTACCGATCTTAATGGGTTTCAAATGAAATGCCCTGAACCGGACTTTACGCTTTGTTAATTATAATAATAAAGGTTAATTCACTTCGTTCGTTTCAGGTTACAATATGTCAAAGTCACAAACAGTAGACACTTTCCTTTCTTCCGAAATAAATGATGTAAAATATAGCGCGATTGTTGGCCTAACCGAAGTAACACAATGTAGTCAACTTTCATTGGACATCCATCCAAGAAAAAATAAATTTTTTATACGTCAAAAGTTTTTCTTTGACTTTGAAATATTTTACAGTCCCCGTAACAATGTTGTTACAGGATAGTTGAGGATATTAAAATTAAGCCCGGTTCTCTCAATAACATAACTCACACTCAGACTTTTTTATAGGTATTTACAAGTACAGTATAAAATAAAAATGGAATTATAATTTCGAAAACCAATGGCCGAAAAGGAATGATACGGCAAGGAATGGTAAGACACAGGATGTACTCGATGGATGCAGGTCGCCAACAGGGATTGTAAAATATCGAAATTGACAATGGGAATACACTATAGTAACTTACTTTTTAAGTTTACTGTTGAATGTCACGATGATTCCCTACCATTAGTAGCAGTAGAGCTCCTTGTAAAAGTGTTCGTCTAGGGAAGTACTGCCACTTTATCTATTTCTTCCGCCAAGCCGTAATGTGAGCATTACTGCTTTCCGGTTTGGAAGGGTAAGGGTGCTCGTGAAATTGGTGACAGGCGCAGTGGCAGTGCCCCCTAGATCTTTACGATTTAAAGCTTTGAGTGGCACTGCGACTGTTATGGACAGGCGTATAGCTTACCACCAGCCTTACGACTTGTACGTTCCGTCACTTGATATTAAAAAAAAACCATGACATTAAATTATTTTTTATGAAATTACTCCACTAGTTTGTTATAATTATTAATACAAAGATCGAACACTTAGAAACAATTCCTTCGATTCGGCTGAATTCGAACCTGCGTCTTCTAACAATATGTAACTAACGCTAACAAAAAAAACAGTAACTTACAATCGAATTAATTTCCATAGTTTCGTCGAGGGTAAGGACTTCGGGGCCTAACTGGCTCAAGGCCTTTAAACTATTGAGTCCAAAGTTCTAAAAATACAAAACGAACCATCAGACCCAACTGTCCTGAGGAGTTACAATGTGTACCTTATCTGAATGAAACAGGGCAAAGCAGCTTAGTTAGGCTCAACTCACACTGGCGCAGAGGCGAAGCGTCGCGACGCGTCATGTTTTTCGCCTGTAGCATATTCATCTCTATTTTCCCATTATTAAGGTACAAATTTGTATTATGCAAATATGGAGTCAAGCGTCGACGCGCGTCGCCAGGCGTTGTTGTTGAAAAACAGGACGCGACGCGACGCTTCGACTCTGCGCCAGTGTGAGTTGAGCCTAGATCTCCACAGAAATTTAATTCTTAATTTCTGTGTTAACATTTCAAAGGTTTTCGCAGAATTAGCAAAAAAATATTCTCATTTCTTTTTGTAATCAACGGAAAATCTAATTAATTATTTTTAACGGTAAGAACTAACTTTCAGACGAATTAGGCAAGGACAGTGAAAATAATTAAGTTTCAATTTCGTGAATATCTCTATTTCTTATAAGTAAAGTTATGCAATTTGTTCATTCATACGAACACGTCTCCATTCTGTACATATTCGTACAAGAGGAACGCAATAGAAATAGCAACGTTTTACGTCTTACTCGCAGCGAATATAGGTCGCTGAAACTCCAAGAGCAGAATGGCTATTTAATAAAGTTTACGCCAAGAGGGGCAAAGTAGTTATTCAGTTTCCGAGAATTCAAGTTGCCGGGATATAAACACCTGAAGTACTACTACTGACTGCGACCTCAGTCACTCCAGCATGAATAAAGTGTCTTACTACCTCGTATTTTCAGTCGGCGAAGCAATTTCATTTACTTTTAATGAGATAGTTTGAGAATGTATTTGTAATTCGCTCTTGTTTACAGCTTTTGGTTTCTTCTTACATTTTTCATTCATGTGTAATTGCATAAGTTGTGTTGAAGGATTTCTATCATTATTTCGGGTACAATTTTTAGCCGTTTCTATTATAGAACGTTTCGCAATATATACAAATTTTACTACACGTTACAAATTTTGGTAAGTGAAAATAAAGTTGCTTCCAAATTCTGAGATCAAGACGGTTCGAATCCCTGTGGCTCCATATACCTCGTGACTTTCATTTCAAAGTTTCGTCTGACTAATTGTGAAGGAAAATATCGTGATGAATTTAATTATATACGTAAAATAAGTAAGTATGTATTATACCGCAAAGTTTGAATACTAAGATTTTTCATTGGCGTTCTACTCGTTGAGATACGGAGCCGAGACATGAACAGTCACGATACGGCTAGTCCACCACTTAAAAGTCGCTGGAACACGTAGGATAAGATTCAAAATAAAGTTATCCGACAGAGAACCAAGGTCATCGACATAGCTGGCGGAATAAGCAAGCTAAAGTGGCATTGGATTGGGCGCAGACTGCGGCTCGGCAAAAGTAGTGTAGGACGCCTCTGGCCAGATGATGTATGCGAGAAGCTGAGGACGAGCGCACATTGTCCAGAGGAACGAGTCACTTGGAAAGTGAACATGTGCGGCTGCTCTCTGTATACTTGTCGTGTGACATTTAAAAAGTGAACATTTTACAAAACTTAAAACATAAAAGTTGCTAATAACTTTTTTTTCATCATCGCACTCAGTCAATTTCGAAAAAGTGCCTAAGGTAGATTTGTCGGAGAAAAAAGCTTACAGTGCCTACCGTAAATTACGATAACAAGACAGAAAACAGACGCTTCGTTAGTGTTCCCTTGTAATTTGCTAACATACCTAATTAAAGGAATCGGGAGGCTGTACAGGCAATTTCAACAATACATAGATATGCTAATATCAGCCCAGCTAACTGCACAGTTTATTTTCTTTAGAACTTCATCACGAAATATCAATACGGCTCGCTTTTGCGCAATTCAATTTCCATTTGCCTCGGTTTCAACTTCAAACTGAACAAATTGAAGAATCAACACATTTGAGCAGTACAAAGTATTGGTCCAAGATTGTCGGTATTACAGCTGGGGATTTTTCTAGTCGTTCCTTTTTCGTCCCAATGCGCAATGTACTATTTCAAACTGTTACTTCGTCTTTTCTTTCATTGTTCCTTTGATGGTAAATACTTAAATAACGTTTCCGTGTAGTTCCTACATAAAGGAACAACAAAGACAAAATTGACAATATAAAAAGTCTCACAGCCACTCAGGTTATTCACAGGTTCCAATGTCCGAAGTTGGCGTTGTTGTGGAAATTGAACGGTGAAAGTAACCTGAATGTGCATGTTTACTAAATTACACATACAGTCCGTACGGTTCTTTTATCAATAGTACGCAGATTCTTATATGGTAAGCATATAATTGTTGTGTAAGTGTGCCTAATTTAAGCGTAATCGACTGAATTGTTCATTCGTTTCGTTTTCTATTTGCAAAATCAAACAATCATTGTAACTGAACCTAAACAATAGTTAGAAAAGATCCAATATATTTGGAATGAAACACTCGAAATCACAGATATTACGGGCTGTCGCGGCCTATCATCACATCTGGCACACGAGAGTTTGAAAGGCTTTTGTTTGAGGATCGGGGGTTAATAGACTCGAGTAAGTGTGATCAAATACCAAGTGGTAGCAGTGAAAATAACAATTATTAGATAAGGTGTACCGAGTGTAGGAAAAATTTGAGACTATTTTCACTTGGCGCGGATTCTCCTCAACGCATAATGTCTTAGACC